CCTGTTTCTGGAGAAATGAGCTTAAGTAATTAGCCAACAACAGAAATCCCCAAAGGCCAAAAAGTTCTGGTCATTAGTACATCCCTCCTGCCCTTTGCTGTAAAACTATGTACCTTGTGTTTGGTGATTAAGCTGCTACTTGGCTTCTGCTTCTCCAAGAATCCCACTGAACGAGGGATCCCACATCAGTAGCAACATCTCCTATGTTCATTCTTGCCCTACATAGATAGGATAACAACCTCAGAGTCTTCCGAGATACACGTTCTGTCCCCCTTAATGTATCTCTTGGTGCCTTAATGAAAGGACTGTTTTCTAGACTTTCTTGGGGGATGTAGTTGGTAGATGGGTATGAGGGTTGTATATGAAAAATCAACAACAGCCAGTCATGATAGCGCATGCCTTGGGAGGCTGAGAGGGGAGGATCACTGTGACTTCAAGGCCAACCTGGGCTACACAGTGAGTTCAAGGCCAGCCTCAGCTGCATGGAGAGACCCTGTCTCAAAAAGACAAGAAAAAAATACAAATGAATAATAATCTTACCTCCTTAAAATTTAGGGTGAAAAGAAACTAGGAACTAGAAGAGGAGGTAACTCCCTCCTTTATATTATGGGTTAGCCCATGAATCAAAGTTATCCTACCTCACTATATTATAAACAAAGTTTTGTTGGATCACAGCCATGTCCGTTCATTTGTGTACTGCCTAGGGCTGCCCTTGCAGCACAATAGCAGGGTTGAGTAGTTGTGACAGATTATGTGTCCCGAAAAGCTAAAAATATTTAAGTCTAGTCCTTTAAGAAAGAGTTTGCCCATCTCTGCCCTACAGGCTGCTTAGATTTGATCCAAGTTATAAATCTAGTGACCACAAGGAGTAGTTATGATGGTTCTTCAGAAAGATGGGCATGTGTTTGCGACCAACTGCCCTGACAATCAGACTTCTCAGATCCAAGGAAAGCAGGTTATGTGTGCTAAAAAATGAGACCCAGAATAACACAGAAGTTTGAGATTTCAGTTTTGTCTGAATCCAACCAGATGATCCCATTCAGTGCTATATTTTTTATATAAAAAGCATGATGAGGCTGTGTAATTCAACTAATGTTGTAAGTCTGCAATCCACACAGTTAAATTTGGGTTTAATTTTTAGTCACTATATGATACCAGGAGTCCTTTTAGACTTGCCATGGAATCTCACTCTCTCTCAGGCTACAACTTCATGCAGAGAGTTTAAGGGTTGAGCTGGTTTCCTTCTTTCTGTACATACTTCGTGCCTTCAGTAGAATCTACTGCACAACACTGTCCTACTAGTAATTGTTGTGATGAAGGGCAGAAGCCTGCTGGACTCCCAAGGAACTTACTTTAGCAGAAAATTCATCACCATCAACAGCAGGAAATAATTAGATTAATTGTGAAGCATATGCATACCTTGGATTACTAGTATTCTGTTTTGTCTTCGCAAGAATTCAACACCGTGCTCAAACACACAGGTTCCAAAATATTAAGTTTGAAAAGTAAGGGGCTGGGGATTTAGCTCAGCGGCAAAGCGCCTGCCTGGCAAGCGCAGGTCGTGAGTTCGGTTCCTGGTACCGGAGAAAAAACAAAAAAACAAAACAAAACAAAAAAAAAAGTTTGAAAAGTAATCATGAAAAAAGTGTAAAAGGGAGTTTTTGAGGGGTGTAGTAGTAGCAGCCACAGAAAGCAGCTAGTATCATCACCATGTACTAAGCTAAAATCAAAATGGGTTGATTATCTAAGTGTTAAAACAGAAACACTAAATCTACTGGAAGAGAAAATTGCTAGAAATCTTGAAGACAGGAATAGGCAGAGACCTCATGAGCAAAATCCAGACGGCATGGAAGATACTACAAAGAATCACCAAATGGGTTCTCTTATTAAAAAGGTTTTGCACAACAAAAGAAATCACCACCAGCGTAAAAAGAACCCACAGAGTAGGAAAAAATTATAGCCAGCTGTCCCTCAGACAAAGGACTTATATCTAAAACATAAATAATTGAAAAAAATCAGAACACCCAAATTGAAAGACCCAATCCAAAAATGGACATCTGAGATGAAAACACACTTCTCAAATGAAGAAGTAGACCAAATAAATATATGAAAAATGTTCAGTGTCATTGCTCATTTGAGAGATGCAAATTAAAATAACACTGAGATTCCATGTCACCCCAAGGAGAGTGGCTATCATAAAGACATCAGTGAGTAACAAATGCTGGAGGGGCTGTGGGGGAAAAGGAATCCTTCTCCACTGCCGGTGGGAGTGTAGACTGGTGCGACCACTATGGAAATCTATATGGAAACTTCTGAAAAAGCTAGGATTAGAGGTCCCAGTTGACCCAGCTATTCCTCTTCTGGGTATCTTGCCAGAAGAATTTAAAATATTGTATCAGTAATTTATGCACACCCATGTTTATAGCAGCACAATTTGTAATAGCTAATCTTGGAAACAATCCAAATGCCCATTAACTGAGGAATGGATAAAAAAGATGTATTTTTCTATGTTGGAGTACTATTTAGCCAAAAAGAAGGATAAACTGGAGACTTTTATAGGTAAATGGATGCAACTTGAGACCATACTTATAAGTGAAATAAACCAGATTTATATCTGTAAACATCATATTGTCTCCCTCCTGTGAGAAGCTGAAAGGGTAAATAAGATCCAAAATGTGCAATAGATACTGTGAAATGGGAAGAATCTGTTCACAAGGAAAGAGCAACTTGGATGGGGGAAAGGAGAAAAGAAAGAAGGTGAAAGGAAATATATATATCATACACACATATATATATACACATACACAAGATAGTTAAAATAGTTATAATACTAATTTCTATTCATTGAAAAGAAAGGTTTGTGCTAATATTGTTTGGACAATTTTTCATACCTATATATTGTACTTTGAGTAACTACTTCGAAGGTAACAATATGCAGTATATTAACCATTGTTACTCTACTATTTGGTTTTAAAATTTTGTTGTTTTTTCTCTTTAAAATGATTGTTTTTTGTCTTTTTGAGGCAGAGTCTCGCTATGCAGTTCAGGCTGGCTTTGAGCTCACTTTGTAGCCCAGGCTGGTCTCGAACTTGCAATGATCCTCCTGCCTGAGCCTCCCAAGTGCTGGGATTACAGGCGTGCACCACCACGCCCAGCTCTAACAGGTTTTTAAAAAAAAGAAAAAAAAAGCAGTAACTCGGACATTTCACACAGCACCCTTTTCACTGGGTCACTGTCTGGTTTCAGTTAACCACAGAATTCCTCCTGTGGAGACAGTTGCCTCTGAAGCTTTGGTGAGCGTTGTCCCTCCTAACTCATGGAACTCACGGAGTGCCCCGCAAATCAGGGCTCAGGGCAGGCCCCCTTCAGACCTCTCTCGGTCTGGTTACCGTGGTAGATTCGGAGGGTAACTCTTATGGACTTTCAGTGTTCTCCCTTCATAGGTTTTTCTTGCCTGTTACCTGGCCCGAAGGCCACTCTCCTAGGTTTTGATGGCGGTTATCTGTTTCTGTTTCACCCATAGAAACCACAGGAAGGCATTCTTTTTCTCTCCTGGCTCCTGTCACTGCACTGTTTTCTGATTTGGTCATAGAACTAAGGTTCACTCCCTTGTCCCTTCTCTGCTAGGCATTGCTGGGTGTCTCCTCCCTCAGTTGGCGGCCACCCACAGTCATGGGTAGGGTGCTAACTGTTCCACGTACCACACTCCCATCGTATGTGGGAGAAACAGGGAGATGATGTTGATGATGTTGGCAGAGCCTTCTCGCCCTCCCTGTGGCATCTCACTGCCTGCTGGCTCTGGGTACAGGAACGGTGGAACATGCAATGAAATTTTACCCCATTCTGATGGAGGCTTCTGTGAGGCCTAGTTTGGAGTAGTTTAACTTCACCATGCCCAGTAGGGAGGATGGCTTGTCTGTGCATTTATTTAATACACCGGGCTGTCTTTGGGGCTAGCTTGCTCCCTCCTCAGTCAGCCAGGATTTTAGTCCGGCTGGGCTGTCTTTTTGTTTATTGTTCAGTGTCGGACTCCATCTTTCGCCCAGCCTCAGAGTAGCTGCTTTCCTTCAGTACCCAAGCATGGGTATTCACTGTTGCTAGTTTTCCCCCATGTCTCTCTCACTCAGTTATCCTGTTGTCAGATTTTTAAAACATATTTCAAAGCATGTTTATATAAATCTGGCCTTATTTCTTAAATTTCTGACTTGTTCGATAAAATCTAATGTAGCACTCCCTCTCGTTTCCCAAGAACACTTCTGCTTATGTCAGTGACTTTTTTTTAAGACAAGATCTCACTATGTGGCTGGCCTTAAACTCACTTTGTAGCCCAGGCTGGCCTCAACTCACCTGCACCACCATGCCTGGCTGTCAGTGACTTTTTTGTGTTAATTAATATCTCTCATTCTTTTTCATCACATACTTTCTTTCACAATTAATTGGAGTTACTCACTTTTGGTAAATTGAGAAATGAATTCGGGCTTTTCTGTTTGTTGTGGGGTATTTTGTTTTTTGGCAGGGGGATTTTTGAGACAGGGTGGCACTATGTAGTCCATGCTAGCCTTGAACTCACTATGTAGCCCAGGTTAGCCTCGAACTCATGATTATCTCCTGCCTTAGAACTCGCCCCTGAGGGCTGGGATTATAAGCGTGTGCCACCATGCCTGGCCAAGATGAGTTTGTTTTTATACTTCGCTAGAATTCTATACTTGAATTTTCATAGAAAACTTGGTCTATATCTTTTCCTTTTTAATTTTTGTTTTATTTTGAGACAGGGTCTCTTTATGTAGCCTGGGCTGGCCTTGAACTCTAGATCCTTCTGCCTCAGCCTTCCGGGGCATGCATCACCATGCCCAGTTCATTTGCATCATTTGACTCCTTTTTACATTGACTTGAGGCCATAATAAATACAGGCTTCCTCTTTGAAATTAAAGGTCCTTTAAGCTTATACTTTAAAAACTAGTTGAAAGAATTACCTGATATATGTTATCTTTCTCTTTCAGGTGGGAGGTGTTGCTGTTTTTCTCCTGATGGAAAAGCTTTAGCTGTAGGTCTCAATGATGGAAGTTTCTTAATGGCAAATGCAGATACTCTAGAGGACCTTGTATCTTTTCATCACAGAAAGGATATTATTTCTGATATTCAATTTTCACCTGGTAAAATAACATTGAAATTGTATTTGATTATTAACTTTGGTCTGGCAATGAGTGATTTTTTTAACAACTTACTTTAGCTCAGAATTTTATTTTTTAACTAGAGGAGGCCATATGGTGAGAGATAAAACTCCTGTATTTGATTGGTGCAGATATCTTGCTTAGTGCTAATTCTTATGTCACTGCATATTCCATATGAATTGGACCAGGGCATTTCTCTAAGCCTCAGTGTTTTTATTTGTAACATAAAAAGGACTAGATGACTGTTTTTACAATATTTTTAATAGGCTTTGAAATTGTATTAATTTTACTCTAACAACTTTCTCATATATATTATCTACTAGTAAACCTACTATAACATAGGAATTACTAATGTTAGGGCAAAATTTACTTCTGCTGATTTAATTTCCTTTTTTCCTAAATTTAGAGGGTATCTTAAATATGATGTGCATCTAAATTACAGTGTATGTAATTTTTGGTAACCTGCTCTCTGCTGAACTAATTTGTTATGGTAAAATATACTCCATTTTCTTAATTATATACTTTAAAATGTGTTATTTGACATTTAATACATCTCTTTTTCTATAACTTATCAAACACCTAAGATTTCTCCAAAAATCTATTAAGAAAATTAACCCTACTTGCAGAGTATAAAAAAAATTCCCATAAGTACAAAATACTAAGCAAATACATTCCTTTTGTAGGTTCTGGGAAATATCTGGCTGTGGCCTCCCATGACAGCTTTATAGATATATACAACGTAATGAATAGTAAGCGGGTAGGAATATGTAAAGGCGCGACCAGTTACATAACGCATATTGATTGGGATATTAGAGGTAAGACTTAATATTTGAGAAAAGTTTCATTTGACTTAATGTAGTTTTGGATATTTTGGGGAGGGTTGTTGTTGTTTTAGTTTTCTGAGACAAGATCTTACTATTTTAGTCCAAGCCAGGCTGGCCTTGAACTTCAAATCTTCCTGCCTCAGCATCCAGAGTGCTGGGATTATAGGAGTGCAACAGCATATCCAGCAGTGTAGCTGTTAAAAACTTCAGTATGATTTAACAGGTTCACAAGCCTTGTGAAAAACAAGCATTGCTCTATTATTTTCATTGCTAAATTATTTTCCACTGCTTTATTTTACATCGAACATTGGTCTACAAAGTGAATTCAAGGCCAGCCTGAACTGCATAGTGAGTCCTTGTCTCAAAAAAAAAAACAAAAAAAAATTAATCCATGAATGAATTACTTATAAGCAAGTTAAGAAAGTATAATGCTGTCAGTATACATTGACTCCAGAATAAAATGATTTTTATATTTAAACTTAGTTTTTCCCATAAAATGTAAACATTATACTAATGATATATTATTCATATTTTTGTATTTCTATATTATTTTAAGGAAAGCTTTTACAGGTCAACACTGGTGCTAAAGAACAGTTATTCTTTGAAGCTCCTAGAGGGAGAAGACAAACCATCCCCAGTGTGGAGGTAGGAAGAGACTGGTGCTTAGAGTAGTGTTTATATAAACGTGAGAGGAGTTAGAAAACTGGTACCTATGTCCATCATTTACTTACTTAAGAAGCTTGTGCTGATCATATTACTCAGATTATGGCTTTTCTTTGGATGAGTCTATTTTACTGGGCTAGAATGTATAGATCAATAAAGGAAGAGACATTGCTTGAAGAAGTGAAATAAATCACTAGTAGCTATGCTTGAATCACTTTCTTCAAAGCACGGAAGCACCCACTGACAAATAGAAAACTTGACATCTAATTTGAAGTACTGCACATCTGCCACATCGTTTGGAATCCATATACCTAAGATGCTTGTTAGAAAATTCCTACTTAAAAAAAAAAAAAAAGAAAAATTGTGTTTAGTTTTGTGCCTGACAGTAGTAATTTCGTTGGCATCTAAGAAAAGATGTTTACCAAGTTTAACATGAAATGGCTTAATAAAGGGAGGGACTCTAAGTAAAAGTTAATTTGGTTGAGTTTTGTTGTCAATTTATATGTTACAAACTTAGAACAGTTTTTTCTCTTTTTTAGGTGGAAAAAATTAGTTGGGCATCATGGACCAGTGTGCTTGGTGTATGCTGTGAGGGAATTTGGCCAGTCACTGGAGAAGTCACAGATGTAACTGCCTCTTGCCTCACCAGTGACAAAATGGTCCTAGCTACAGGAGATGATTTGGGATTTGTGAAGTTATTTAGATACCCTGCTAAAGTATGTTTTTCTCCCTAACTTTTCTAATAATCATAATTACAAAAATAGTTAAAGTTTTGTATTTGAAATGAGTGGTATTTTGAGGGTGACTAATAGAAGTGTATCTATTACTGTAATAAAGTTTGTAAATTCAAACATTCACTGTATATTTGGATCATACATCATAGTACATACATAACATGCAGTGTTGTACCATGAAAGGTTCAGAATTGTTTCCATTCTTGGCATCATATTTATACTTGTGCCTAGAATATTTATTCTAATGTATGATCCCATGCCTTAAGTTAAATATTATATTGTACAGTGTTTTTCAGTACTGAGTAATGTAAATACCCCCTTTTAAAAGAAACATTCCTTTTATCCTCCAATATTAGCTTAAATAGTCTCACTATTTTCACTAAATATGCACATTAAGTGTAAATACAAACTTTTTTATAGACATTGCTCTTAAATGTAAAATGTTTTAACCATTAAATACAAAACACTTATACATCTATAAAATTAAAATAGACAAAATTGACTTTCTGTGATGAATGGTATTTTTGCTGAAATCAACTGTACAGATTCTTTGGAGTTCTGTGTACCCCACTGCATTGCTTGACTACTCAATTCCTTTACACTTTCTTCTATTCAAACTACTACAGAACAACACAAAAATATCACATCCATATGTCTTTATTTTAACTGTCACAAATTAAGTTATATATTATAATCTGGCACCAACATGAACCTAAATATGAAATAGGATACCAAAATCCTATTATGGTGTTCAGTTGTGGTCATTTTAAGTAACTGCCCATATCGTAATATTTTTATATCTGCACTGAAGTAAAAACAGGAATCTCAGACACTCAAGAAAATATTCTGCAGATCCTGTTTTAGATACATAGAAGTGGTAGAACCTTCGTTGACAAGAATGTGTTCCACTAAAACTTTATCAGTCAAAACTTCACTTTCAGGATTACAGATCATATAAATCCCTTAGAAACAGGTGAATCTAGGATACTGGTCTACAGATTCCTTACTCTCTTCATTATAGCAAGAATCATTCAGTCTTAGAAAAACTACATTTTACAGTATTTTGATGACAGTCCCACTCCCTTTTATTGTCTTTTTCCCAGGGAATGTTCTGATTTTACTATTCAGTATGTTTTGTTTTCTCAAGGCATCTTATTTTAATCCCCTTAAAAAATGTCCTCTAGGGGGCCGGGAATTTAGCTCAGTGGCACAGCGCCTGCCTGGCAAGCGCGAGGTCGTGAGTTTGATTCCCGGTACCAGAAACAAAACAAAACAAAACAAAATGTCCTCTAGAACCTGCTCATATTACATTGGTCTGAAATTTACTTATGTAACTTGGTAATGCTGATGTTCTAGATGTAAAATTTGCCAACATCTGTAACTTAAGAGTTGTGTGGTTTTGTTTTTTTTTTTTTTTTTTTTTTAATATTGAAAAGGTATATACAGGGCTAGGAATATGGCTCATTGGTCAAGTGCTTGCTAAGCATTTGTGAGGTCCTGGATTGATCCTCCATATCACACATATACACAAAATGGAAGATTCATCCCCAAGTGTAGTCTTACACACAAAAGCACTAATGACTTAGGAGGAAAGATATTTCATACCTGAAAACAATGGATAATTTTGTTACCACAGCCATGCTGTGCACAGGATTTATATACGTTTTCAGCTGTTATGTTTCCAGCAATAACATATGTGCATAACATTGTTTTTAATACATGCACACTATTCTATAGATGTACACTGCAGTTAACTCTTATTCTACTGAATACTTAAGATATTTTAATTTTCTCACTACCATAAGTGAATATTATGGTAAATATTTTTTGCACACATAGCAGTTTGTTAGCATGCAGAATGCCAAGTTGGTTTCTAAAGGAGTTAATGAATATCAAGCAATGTAGAAACTGTTAAATTTATTATATTCTTACCAGGTTTTGTAAGTGGTATTTTTTTATTCTAGCAAATTTCAGCATTTTCTTGAAGTTTTTATACATGTTACACTCGGGAATAACTAATTTCTAATGAGATATATATATATATATATATAAAATCAGGAATCAAACTCAGAACCTCATGCTTGCCAGGCAGGTTCTGTGCCACTGAGCTCTGTCCCCGGCTCTGATGATATTTTAAGAAAGAAAACATAACTAAAATAGAATTCATTTAATTTTATAACATAAATTTTCAAATAATGAAATTTCTCAGAAAGAGTTTGGCTTTTTTATTTTTAGGGAAAATTTGGAAAATTTAAGAGGTATGTGGCCCATAGTACACATGTCACCAATGTTCGCTGGACTTATGACGACAGCATGTTGGTTACCCTGGGAGGTGCAGATATGTCTTTAATGGTATGGACGAATGAAATAGAGAGCTATCGAGAGAAAAGGACTTGTGAAAGCGAAGAATCTGATACAGATTCTGAAGAAGATGGAGGTCTGTCATTTTAAAACATTTAAACAAAATCGTAGAAAAAATTAGCACAGCTGATTTAAACTGCAAAAGTTTAAAAAGTAGTAATAATGTTTGAGTAATTGTAATGTTAATTGGACACCAAAATTGGTTTTGTGACTCAAGAATAACAGGTTGGCATGTATTGATGATTTAGATATTCTTCATCTATAAATGTAAGATAATCATATTTTTAAAAGAGCTGTTACAATTTATTGAATGTTATATTTTAAAATAATGTTGATGTTTTCTTAAGATACCAGTAATACCAGTTCATTATGGAAAATACATTTTTTTTGGTCTTTTTGAGACAAGGTCTCACTATGCAGTTCAGGCTGGCCTTGAACTCATTTTGTAACCCAGGCTGTTCTCGAACTCACAATGATCCTCCTACCTCAGCCTCCCAAGTGCTGGGATTTCAGGCATGCACCACCATGCCCGACTTGGAAAATACATTTTGCAATAAAAAATAAACATAGTATCTATCATTCAGCCACTCAGAAGTTAACTTGTTAACATTTGGGATATATCCTAAGGTATATGTATATTTAGGAATACGTAAGACTTTTTAATAAAAAATTGGATTTTTGGATAGCTTTACACATGGCTAATATATAATTTTTTAACAAGAGAACCATATTAAATTATTTTTTAGTTTTTACCTCTTAAGATAGTTCAAAAACATCATTACATATCACTAAATGCTCTTCTGTATAATTTTTACCGGGTGCATCTTATTTCATAATTTGAGAATAATGCAATCTATTTCATATTGTTGGACATCCCCATATCAAATTTATAAGATCATAATTAATCTTTTCCATTTCATTTAAATATTAACTTTTATATTTTGATGGTAGGGTATGACAGTGATGTTACCAGGGAGAATGAAATCAGCTACACCATCAGAGCCTTATCAACAAATATTCGCCCGATGTTTGGAATCAAGCCTCATTTGCAACAGAAAGAACCCTCAGTTGATGAGAGGTAATAATCAAACTTAAAATGAGGTGAAGAAAAAGATATTGACATTAATGATTAAAAGTTTTCTTTGAATGGATTTACCACAAAAACTAAGTAACAATGGTATTTTTGCTTTATACAGTTCCAAGCAACTCTTAGAAAACATGCTGGTCCTCAAATATTTTTTGTGATAATACTGTTACATGCATAATTTAGGGAATGTTACATACACATACAGTTGATATGGTTGAAGTAACCTTACTTGCTAACTTTCGTGAGTATATTTGATGGAGTTTGGGAAGAAAGTAAAATCTGAATTCAGTGCCTTTTAAGAAGCCTATGAGCAGAGGCTTGATTCAGTTGTTAAAAGATCTCTCTATCCATGTGCCCTTCATCGAGGATAGACCATCATTTCAAAATTGTCTCTAACAGGATGGCTGAAGTACATCTTACCTTTAATAGCACTTTTAGTCTTGATTTGTAATTATCAAATCAGAAATACATAGATATGCATAGCAATTTTAGGAGGAGAGAACTTTTAATAAAGTCCCAGAGCTAGATCACAGATCAAGAGAGAAACTGTGGACCTGATGCTTTTAAAATCCAACATGGAAAACAGTTAAGAGGCTTATGGAAGCTGGCAGTGTAGCTCATTGGTAGAGCACTCGCCTAGCGTGTGTGAGGCCCTGAGTTCTGTTCCCAGAACTGCAGAACAGACAAACAGCAAAAACAAAAAGGAGGCATATGGCATGTACTTGGGAAGCACACACGTTTTAAGAAACCACACAGGACAGATTATCCAAAAACAGTAGCAAGAGATGAAGAGGGAAGAAGTGGCCGCAGCCGTGAGTCTGTGGCCGGCCAGGATGGGGAGACGTGATTGTAAGAAGCCGGTACGGGCGTCTACGGAAAAGCTGGACACGCAACCTGTGCATGTAATATTGAAGCTTGGGTTGCACCTCAGTGATGGTCACGAGGACAGCTATGGACGGTGACCAACTTACTGACCCGAATGTTGCCAGGGGAGTTAGGAATGAACGGTGCGGTTTTGCGGTCTCCTCAGGCCTGTTTCAGGTGCCCCGTTTGCTGACAGGAGACCTCAGATAACTGCACGGGGAGGTCCCCTAGAGAAGATGGCTCCAGAGTGGTCATCTGTTTTGTTATGTGCAGAGGCAAGGTATAAAATACTTTTTAGGAGACTTGATCGTACTGTAGTGTGAACACTTGCACAGAACTCCAGGTTGAAGCAGCTTGGTAGAAGGCAGCATCATGTAGTGCCAAGGACATGGATTTTGGAGACAAACAAATGGGCTAAAATATCACTTTTATAATTTACTGCTTGGGTGACCGTGAGTAATTATTCATTCTTTCTGAACCTCATTTTCCTCAGTGGCAAACTGAGCATTATAATTCCTAATTTATAGATTATTTTGAAATGAAAATGAAATACTGTGCATTGAGAAGTAAGATAGGTCTTGACCCAGTGACATCCCTCCTTTAGAGTGAAATACAGAATAAGCTGAGGAGGTAGCCAGTAAAATAGTGAAACACTACTTCTGAAATTTAATATTCAGAAAGTAACAAGTACTACTTGTCATCTATGCTGTTAGCTTGCCTTTTTAGCAGCTAAGTTTTTCAAAATTATTTTGATTGTTTTCAGTTGTTTTACAATATTAGTTCTGCTTAATCCTTTTGAAAATGCTAAAGCAGATGCCGTTAATGTGGCTCAGAAGAGTCTTCCTTTTACCAGGCAAGGTGGCGCACGCCTGTAATTCCAAGGCTGTAATCGGAAGGCTGAGGCAGGAGGATCGCTGCAAGTTCAAGAGCAGCCTGGGCTACAAAGTGAACTCAAGGCCAGCCTGAACTGCACAGCGAGTCTCTGTCTCAGAAAAAAAAAAGAAAATCTTCCTTTTTTACAAAGTGATAGAATTAAAGGAAATTTAAAAATGGGTTTATTTTTCTCAATTTTGAGTATATTACTGAGGAGACAAAGTAGTATAAATTGGTTTTGTATTTTAAATAAGATTTTTTGTCATCAAGTGTAAGAAAGATGCCCTGTGTGGTGGCACACACCTGTAATCCCAGCATTTGGGAGGCTGAGGCAGGAGAATCACCATGAGTTTGAGGCCAGCCTGGGCTACATACTGAGCTCAAGACCAGCTAGACTACAGAGTGAGACCCTGTCTCAAAAACCAAAAAAAAAAAAAAAAAAAAAGTGAGAAAGACATAAGATTTTGTAAACAAAACAAATACTTACCAAATATCTACTTTTTAAAGTGTTTCTCATGAAAAAAATGTGTTTTGTGGCAATTGGTAACTACACTTTTTGGTTAGTATTTTTGTAGATGTTTGTCTCAGACAATTTCAGTAATTTTGTTTTTCTCAATAAATGTTTTTATAGCAAGTCTTATATATCTAAGAGTAAATTTCCAAATAGTTTTAATAAAAATATTCAAAACAATGTGACATAAAATTTAGGTGCTTTGTATTTCCTTAGAATGCTGTTGATACACGGTGCATTTACTCTGCTTATAAACTGCTGTATTTCCTTCTTCATGATCAGTTTTCATGTTTCTCTTTTTTCCCTTTATTCCTTTCAAAGGCAAGGAGTAGTAAGGTATGTTTCTTTAAGGAATATATTTCAATATTTAATATTCTATTTTGATCTTTATAGCATATATTTGTACATGTTTGCAATACATAAGGTTCACGTCCTTGTAAGGAATTGGCACATGTACATGAGACGTCTTACTCCTTTCTTCATCCCCTTTCCCTTCTTAGAAATATCTGCTCCCTGCTTCCTAGCATCTATCTTATCTTGCTCTTTATTTATACTTTGGGTTTCTCATGTAAGAGAAGCCCTGCAATATTTAAGCCTGTGTGTCTGATTTATTTCACTTAACATTATGGTGTGAAAGTGCAGACATTTTGCTACACATGACTCAAGTTCGTCTTGCTTTATGGCAGAGTAGTACTCCATTGTTTGTGAAATATAGTATTTTAAAGTATTTTTTCCTAGAAAAGTTTTAAATACATTTCTCAAGAATCAGAAAATGAAATATGACAAATCTAACTAAAGAGTTGGAATTTTGGGTATAATACATGGTTGCTGTTATGAAAATCTTCATTATTTGGTTTTTTAATGACCTTTTATGAACTACTTACATTCTAGATAATTTTAATTTTTCCTTTCAGGGGATCATAAAAACAAGCTTGGCCACACATATTTATAAGTGAAATATCAGTTTATAGATCTTTTACCATCATGTAATAGACTTTTTCACATAGTGATTCACTTAAAAACATTAAAGCAGCGTAATTATGGTATTTGTGTGTTCAGTGAAAGGACATGGGTAAGACAGACTCTTGGGATACTTTTATAGCTGCCTGTAGTGACATGAACATGTCTACAGAGAGTTCCAAAACGAGGCAGCGTGGAAATGGATAGTCAATTTTAGAAGTAAAAAAGTTGACATTAGCTAAATGCTGAGAGATGAGGATAAATATAAGTGGATTTGAAACCAGATAGTGCAGAAACTCAAATAGTAGGCATCACCGGATATATTTGACAGCAGGAAGTCATTATCTGTGAACTTTATCGTGTATATTAAGCAGGGTACTGTGTGCAAAGAGAAGTGCAGAGTGTGATACAGCTTCTAAAGAGACCCACGTAATCTTACACTAACTGAAATAAAGCGTCCAGATCGAGTCTCACACTGAGAGGTTCTTCACTGCTGATCTCTGCATTAAAAAGGACACTGCCAGTTTACTGTGGTGTAGAGGAAGAAGTAATGTAGATGAAAGAAAGCTGGGAGGTCTCTTCATAGATGATGTTTTATTAATGTCTTAAATGTATAGTTTGTTGTAATCTTTTCCCCTTTTTTCTTCTCTCTCTCTCTCTTTTTTTTTTGTCTGCTGCTGAAAAGAGGTTCCAGGTAATCTTTACTGTGTTTACAAAACCTAATTTTGTATTTTAGCATCTTTTATATTTACCATTAATGAGCTAACTTACTTGGTGTTATTTACCTGTACTCACATTTTACTACATTTTTTCCCCTTTGTAGTTAGTATCCTGAAATGAATTGCACCTTAATCATTGGGCGTATACTATATAAGTAACTGTATTGCTAAAACTTTATCCATTCATCTTGTATAGTTTTATATAAGCTGTATACTTTTACTTTAAGCAGTAATATACCTTATGTATATGATCCTTACAAAAGTTAAAATATATTTGTTATATAGAATTGTACAGATAAAAATTACTTGTTTACTATGAGTTACAGTTAGTAGAAGGCACTAACACTGAGTAAAGTTACCACAACAATTAATTTAGAATAAAAGCCCAAGTTTCTATCATTCTTTGAAATAGCCTGATGAGAAATATTTTCATGTTAAATATAAATTCAGTTCTATTTTTAGGTATGGACATTGAAAACATACATGAAGTGTGAAACCAAAATTAATGGCATAAACAGAAAATGTATTTATATATTTAAATACATTTACTTTTTATGACATCAGTCATGCTTACATATTCTACATATTGTTTCATATTACAAGTGAAAAATCACATTTGTTTTATATTGCACATTAAAGATAAAACACTTTTTAATAAATGTATAATGACACTAATTTTAAAACAGAAATATATTGTATGGCTTTAATTTTAGGAGACGTAGTCATAAATGTTGGAGCTCTCAATAAAAAGTTAATTTGTATCATTTCCTGATTTAGTTGATACAAATTAAATATTAACTAAAAATCTAGAGGGAAGTTGATGCATGATTGGTTTATCTTCAGGTTTCAAATTTATTAAATATTTGAATAATGGTTATTCAAGATGGAAACAGTAAACCAGTAGATTTTTAGAGAAGTGCCTCCACATTTAAATGATCCAAAATGTGAACTCTATATGCCTATTAGGACATGAGATATTATAAATAGATTCTGAGCAGGTAAGAGAGGTCTAGATTTGAGAATTACCATGTAAGCATCATTGATAAATGTTTGGGTAAATAGAGGTGTCATTGAGGCAATATTAATAGTAATTACCTTTTACAGAGTACTGCCTTGTTTACAATGCTTTGTGACTATCAAATGTCTTCCTTGAGTAATTGTCCTATACCAATGCCACTAGGTAGAACTAGGGACTTCAGGAAGCAGAGAAAGTAAAGGTCATGAAAGAACAGGAAATGAGAACAAGTTTGAATGCACATGTAGATTATGTTGTCAATAGTATAAAGCTCATGGACATATTATCAAAACTGACTGTCAAGAAGACGAGGGGGCTGGGGATTTAGCTCAGTGGCACAGCGCCTGCCTGGCAAGCACAAAGTCGTGAGTTCGGTTCCCGGTACTGGAAAAAAAAAAAAAAAGATGTATTTACAGCTGCCATGTGCAGATGTTAGGTGCTTTAGAGCAATAATCCAGATTTTGTTGGTAGTGCATCCATCAAGTAATTTTTGAATATGTCAAACTAACATTTTTACATTTGTTTATAAATAATCTTCTCATGATCTATTTATATTGCAAAGCATATACCCAAAATTTACAAGTAAATTGAATAAAAGTTCTAGTACTGTATTTTCTACCGTTCTGCATCAGAAGCTATCAAGAGGCCAGGCGTGGTGGTGCACACCTGCAATCCCAGCACTCAGGAGGCTGAGGCAGGAGGACTACTGAGTTTCAGGCCAACCTGGGTTACAAAATGAGTTCAAGTCCAGCCTGAACTGCATAGTGATACCTTGTCTTCAAAAGACAAAAGAAAAAAGAAAAATCTCTCAAGAGGTAGAGGGTACAGAATGGGTTCCCTTTGGGGAAGCTGTGCGCTCCTTGGAGGGCAGGTCCTAAAGCCCGGTGAAGGCCCCGGGGATGCATGCCTGCCCTCCGCCCACCTCTCTGTTTCAGGCCGCCAGTGAGCAGAGCCCCACCACAGCCCGAGAAACTTCAAACAAACAATGTTGGCAAGAAGAAGAGACCCATAGAGGTAAAGAGACCCGCTCCTCAGCGTTACTAAAATGTACCCATGGTTCATTTGTGTCCTTAGTGTTCTTAAAATAATTGCATTAAGTAACTTGGTTGTTAAAATTAACTGCTTAACTCTTACTCAGTCTGAGTTTTGAATTGCTATCTTCTGTTTCCTTCAATTTTTTAAATGTGTATTTCTTTTTACTTTTCCCTAAGTAATAACCTCATTTCATCTGTAACACAGAGAACTTCTAAATGTGAACATCTGTGAATAATCTATTGCTTAGAGAAGCACAGGCACCTTGGCAGTGTTTCATACGTAGCAGGCTAAGTTTATAGGTTAAAACTTAAATACTTAAACTACATCAGGAACCCTTACCCCATATGATATATTTAATGTTTGAAGACTTTTTCGTCTGTCTTTCCTTCCAAACAAGAAACCTTCCACAATAACTGAGAAATAAGAAAATGTCTGCCTAGCATGGTGGTACATGTCTGCAATCCCAGCTCCTCAGGAGGCTGAGACAAGAGGATTATAAGCTCAAGGCCAGCCTGGAAAACCTAATGAGACCCTGTCTCAAAATAAAAAATAAAATAAAGGGCTGAGGATACAGCTCAGTGCTAGAGTACTTTTGGGTTTAACCCCCAGTACTGAAAAAGGAGGAGGAAGAGGAGAACAAAAGTTCCCCTGGGCATTTCATAAATCCAGGCATCAGCAATAAGTAGCAAACCCTGCCAAATGAGGCATGAATAAGGAGTAAAGCTGCAGGAGATGGGTATAGCTTCCTTTCCCATCACTCGCACAGAATCAATAAAGCTGGACACTTAAAGTTGCAGGGTTCTCTGCCAAAACTTTAGTGTGAGTTCTCAGAAACAACTTGGGAGTCTCCCAAGTACTTAAGCAGAGTTGGACATAATTTATTCTGAATTGTGTATGTAATGCAAATATTAGAAGTAACAATGAACATAAGTAGAAATTTTCTTCTTTTGGACACAAGAACTATCTCAATGTTTAAGACATTGACTCTTAAATCTAAAATTATTGGCATCAGATGACCTTGTGATTCCCTTTTCCTTTTTATAACTTTACATAGAAAAGTATGGAATGTGGAATGTTTTAGTGCCCAAAAAAGGTTACATAGAAAAATATATCTAGCTTAATTTGTGTTTAAAGTTTATAAAAAAAAAATCAAAAAGCATCCCCCATTTTAAAGACAATATTAGTGTATCACAGAACACTGGTGAACATTTAGACATGAGGAAAAATATAATTGTGTAATGGTTTTATCATTATTGTTACAGGACCTTGTGTTGGAACTTGTTTTTGGTTATCGAGGCAGAGACTGCAGGAATAATGTACACTATTTAAATGATGGTGATGATATAATTTATCACACTGCATCCGTTGGAATTCTTCACAATGTTGCTACAGGTAGGAAACACTAATTCTCCACAGTCCCATGCACAGTTTTTAAATTATAATTTTTTAAATAGCTTCTTAAAGCTCTTAGTTAAAACTGTAATATTTAAATATGGTCCAGAATTTTAAATACTTCATATTGCAGTACTTTCTGGTAATATCAGTGTTCAGAGAGTATGATATAGCAGAAAAATATTTCATAATGCAAATTACTCATAGATCTCTATTAAAAGTAAAGATTTACTGTACATTAGTACCAAGTTTTATTGTAAAACCACTTATACCTTAAATTCTGTTTTCCCGTAACCTCATGCGAACGGATGGTTTGGGTAGTGGTCCCTGCCAGTGAATCAAAGTTGCACAGTGGATAAGTGATTACTGAGGTGGGGGTCATTTTTACTGCGGTTAGAAAGCCAAGGAAGAAAGCTACTTACCTGAGGCGCTAGTAATGATACTTTGTTTGATAGAAGAAGGTGAGAAAAAATTTCTTGATGTCATTTAATTGGCTTGTTGCAGAGCAAATGAAGTTCTCTTCATATTTGATGGCCAATCTCAGTGATGTTAGGATTCTGATTTGGAGTTGTTTTATTATATATAAGTGCAAATTTCACTGAAAAGTTAGTGAAATCTGAAAGTTAGAACCAAAACCCAAGATTACCTAGGCCAAACGTTCTGGCTTTTCTTCTGATAGTTCTGCTCAGAATGAATAAAGAGTCGATTGATTGTGTGAATCATAATCCCTTTCCCCTGGTTAGTATAGTCTTCCTGCTTTCCTAAAAAAGAATTAACCAGGATCATGTGAAACCAGTGGTAATTTTTCACTTAATAATGTGGACCATTTAAAAAGCATTCCTTTGGGAAAAAATCTTGTGCAGTTTCACCTATCCTTTAAGAGAATAGGGAAGAGTAAAATAAGTCAAACAAGAAAGGAATAAATATGTAAATAAAGTCATGTTTATACCTATAATTTTGTTTTGTTTTGTTTTTTGAGACAAGGTCTTGCTGCGTTTGCAGTCTAGGCTGGCCTCAAACCCTGCACTTGCCTAAACCTCCCAAGTGCTGGGAGTGCAAGTATGCACCAGCCATTTAAGTTATTTAAAATTAATCACTTTTCTAATAGTAGGGTGTTAAAAGAGAGGGCAGAGGAAGACTAGGCACTTGCTTCAGTTCTCAGTACTTGGTTTCTCACCAGTTTAGGGATACATTACCATGTTCATAATAGGAAATCCAGTTCATTTGTTCATTCATTCATTTATTCATTCATTTATTTAAAAAAAATAAAATTTCAGAACAATAGGAGAGTAATAATGATTAATACATTGTGTAGTGTTATCTTTAAATTAGTTACTCAGAGTACAAGATATTGGCATTTAATTCTCCAAACAATATTAGCACAAACCTTTCTTTTCAATGGAGTTCGTTTATTTTTGAGACAGGTGTCATTATGTATGTTTCAGATTGGCTTTGAACTCAATGTATAGCCCAAGTTGGCATCAGATCTGCAGCAATCCTTCTGCCTCAGCCTTTCCAGTGCTGAGAGGATGGTACCACCATACCCAGTAGGAAATCTGAGTCTGTTGGTTAATTTTTCACTAATTCATCCACCAACCCCAGTTAATCATTTGCTCCTTTATCTGGCTCCTGGGATCTTTGTGGCACTTGGTAGGCTCAGCCTTGTATTACATTATCTATTCCTTTCAAGGCTCTGCCCCTTTAAAACTGTGGATTCTTTTCTGTCCTTGAGATGGTATGCCCAGAGTAAGGGTTTAAAAATATGCACTGAATAAATGAGTGAGTAGTTTATTGCACTAGCTAAGTGCATTTGGCTGTCACATCTTAAAATTTTCAAACTCAGTTTTCAAATTCTTTCTTTACAGGGACTCAGAGCTTTTATCAGGAACACAATGATGATATTCTGTGCCTCACTGTAAATCAGCACCCCAAATTTATCAACATAGTGGCAACTGGCCAAGTAGGTATGTTTCTGTATTTTAAAAAGAAACAATTTGAAGCATTTGTTTTGTTAAAATAAATTCAATATTATGGGGAAATATTAAAATATAATTATGGATTTTTAAAAGCTGATTTGTGTGTAAAGCATACACTCAGTTATGCCATATGATTTGCTTCTAAACCTTTCTCTTACTTGTCTGAGTTAGACTAATTTAAAATAAAGTATTGTATAATGATTGACAGAGTTGAGATTAGTACTTTATGTTTAGCCTGTTTGCAGTAAATTCTTTGAAAGTGAAGTCTTGATTCGCTCCAGAGAGAGGAGGCCTATGTCCTGAAGGAGTAAAGACCACATCACCTAAGCACCTGGCTCTGTGCCGCTTGGATCATAGTTAATTGCTCTGTAAATTTGTATCACATAAATGTATTTACTGAGTACACTTACTGCACGCCTGCCACGTGCAAGGCTCTACTCTTGGCGTTGGGGATACAGACAGTCTGCAACAAGACAAAATCCTTATTAGTGAAATGTATATTCTGTGAATAAATTTGTAAGGAGATATCGTTCTCTCTTTGCTTCTTTTCTTTCTCCTCTCTGGTTAAGCAATTTTACTTAGGTCAGTGCTCTAGGTTTCTTTTAGTTAAGAATTGTCATGGTCGTAGATTAATCCCTCAGAAACTTGGCCCTTTTTCCACTTCTTTCGCTTTATATTGAAAGGCGTCAGTACAGAGAATATGGAACAGCTAACTATTTTCCCTCTGCCTTGCCAAGGCAGACTCTAGCAGCACAGAGGTGAATTTTGGATCCTATATGTAGCCCTGTGGTTTGCCCTATTTATATCTTTCTACAAAATGGACAACAAAAGTGCTTCGCTGATAACTAATGGAATGTAAGATGAGTTCAAGAGAAGACCAGTGAATGAAGAGGTGCATTTTTTCCTCTAAACTTAAAAAGGGAACTGATCACTAGTTACTTTGCTGCCAAACTTCCTTAATATTCCCCAGGCACACAACATTGTTTAAATTGCTTAAGATCGTTTTTGTTTTTAAAAAATCATACAGATCATAGAGGAATTGAAATACTTGGTTTTGTGATATTTTAGCCAGTTACATATAGACTTTATTTTTTCTTTGCTAGAATCTTGGAATCTCAGGATCAGACATAACCATTTTATCCAGTTCATCGTTATGTATTTGAACTCCACTACTATTTTATGCCTAATGAAGTAGTCTAGCCTCTCCCTAGTAACCACACTTATAAAGTAAAATAGTTCTTCCTATAGGACAAAAATGTTTCTCTCTGTGATTGTTACTTATTGGCCTTCATTCTTGGAGTGCCTGGAACATCTAATCATTTATGGCTGACTTTATATTCTAGTTTTAGAGACAACTGTCGTATTCTGAGTTTTATCTGGTACTTCTTTTAGAAGGCCCATGTTAGACATCTCCCACCCGTAACCTGGCAGTAGGACAGAAGAACAACAGATTACTTTCCATGAGGAAGAGTCCCCCTCTACAGTATCATGTTTTGGGTATTTGAAATTCCAAAATTGTCTACTGAGTCCTGAACCTACTTAGAGACCTGAGTCTGTTCTTACAGTTCCTCCTCCCCGTACTGGACTGCACAACCCATATGTGTGCCCTAGAGGGGTTGCCAAGGGTACCTGTTCATTGGAACTTCTCAATGAATGGCCTCAAACTTGAAGGATTCTCACTTTGTACCAGGTCTTCCAGATTATTACAGTAATGTACTCCTCGAGACAAGAACACTAAAAATTTTCATTTGCTAATTTTATCTTGACTGATAACTAAAATATTTAGTCCTGTAATGTTTCACTCTTCATCTGTACTTCCCAAACCTTGTTCAGGGACAGGCCTGATCTCTCTCATCAGCCAGTCTTCCTGTGAACAATTGCAAGCCCTCTTGCCATTTTGAGGCTGTCTGAGTAGCGTCAGTAATAAAAGCAGTATTTCTGGTCTGTGCAGCAGAGTCAAATGCTTTATTCTCTCTTCCCTCCTATTGCAGGCCGAGACATTATGGGCATATGTTATCAATATGTCCTTGAAATCATTTCATACAAATGTAAGGCTTGATCAATGCAAAAAACAATCCCCAATCTTGAATGGATTCCTGAATGTTTACTCCTTTCTTTCTCGTGACTTACTTTTCCAAGTTTTGTTAATAGATATTTCCACCACAGATACAATAAGCATTTTTCTTGGCAAACTTTGATTCATGTGGAGAAACATCAAAGAACTTTTTTCTTTTGACTTTGACAGCAGCCTTAGCAACCGTTGTCCTTCAGGAGGGTCTGATCTCATTCTTCCTCACAAACAGAGATGCACTGACACTCCGGAGAACCTATTTAACAATGCATTTTAGAACCAAAATAAGAGTCATATCAGTTTAAATCTTATCAATATTGTTTTAAAAGTTGTTATAATTAAATTTTCATGAAACTAATTAAGTGCTCACTTTGGCAGCACATATACTAAAATTGGAACTAATTAAATATAAAGAGAAACATTGAAAGGTCAAATATACAATGTTGAAATATATATAATTAAAATTTACTCAGTGTAGTAAAACTAATTTCATATGTTTTTAAATTACTTAAATTTTATGATAATTAGGTTTGCAAATTTTATTTGTAATATTTATGTTACATATGAATAATTATTTTTCTACTGTTTTTCTATTATAGGTGATTCAGCAGACATGTCAGGTAAGGAAAATTAAATATTATCTATTTTAGTTACATTGCTTGGTAATGATAGCCCAAATTTTTATAAACTAGTAAGATACTTGGGTATATCTTATTATTTACATCTGAGTCTATTATTTCTCTGTAGAAAGCTTGTTAATTTTTTAAAATGATGAACACATCATTTTAATGCCCTGATACTGAACTGAATCTGAGAAAATGTAGTTTTTAAAAATATCAATATGTCATAACCTTCTTACTGAGCCCATATGCTAAGCACTTTACATATATCACCTCATTTAATCATCAGAAGAATTCTTTGTAGTAGTTAAGGACTTACTAACATATAGCTGTAAAAGTAGAGGTGGATGGGGCCTGGGAGTCATCTTAGTACTTGGTAGAGTTCATGCATAGCATCTGAGAAACTGTGAGTTGACCTTCATGAAGTTGAAGTAGAAACTGTGAAGTTGACCTTCATTTAAATATATTTAAAATTTAAATATATTTCAATAAATATAATTATATACTTCATTAATTCAATGTAATACAAATCCCTTGTTCTTGGGTAGGAACAATCAATATAGTGAAAATGGACATACTTCCAAAATTGTTGTACAGGTTTAATGAAATCCCTATCAAAATACCACTAGTGTATATCACAGAATTAGAGAAAATAATCCTAAAATATATTTGGAACCAGAGGAGACCTAGAATAGAAAAAGCAATTCTGGGCAACAAAGGCAAGGCCAGAGGCAACATAATCCCTGACTTGAAATTATACTACAAAGCTACTGTGATAAAAACAGCACGATACTGGCAAAATACCAGACCCAAAGATCAGTGGAACACATCAGAAGATACAGAAACAACTCCAGACCTACTCAGCCACATTCTCTTTGACAAAGGTTCCAAGCACCTTCACTGGAAGAAAGATAGCCTCTTTAATAAATGATGCTGGAAAAACTGGCTTTCCACATGCTGAAGATTAAAACTAGGTGCATATCTTTTACCATATACTAAACTAAAATCAAATGGGTCAAAGATCTAAATATTAAAACAGAAAGACTAAATCTGCTAAAAGATAGGGTAGGTGGAACTCTTGAAGACATTGGTGTAGGCAAAGACTTTATGAACAAAAATCCTGATCGCACAGGAACTGTCACAAAGAATCAACAACTGGGATCTCATCTTATTAAAAAACTTTTGTACGGCAAAAGAAACCACCAACAGAATGAAGAGACAATCCACAGTGGAGGAAAATTTTTTGCCAGCTGTTCCTCAAAGAACTGCTATCTAGAATATAAAAGAACTCAAAAAAAAAAAAAAAATCAGGTCCCCCCTCAGATTTGAAGACCCAATCCAAAAATGGGCATCTGAAATGAATAGACACTTCCTCAGTTAAGAAGTAGAAAGGACAAATATATATACGAAAAAATGTGCAACATCACCAGTCCATTTGAGAGATGCAAATTAAAACAACACTGAAATTCTACCTCCAAAAAGAATGACTTTTATCAAGAAAACAACCATAAACAAATGCTGGCAGGGCTGTGGGGATAAAGGAAGCCACTGTTAGTGGGATTATAGACTGGTGAAACCACTGTGAAGATTCTTCAAAAAACTAAGACTAGAAGTTTCACTTGGCCCAGCTATGTATCTTCCCAAAAGAATTGAAAGCGTCATACCACAGCGATATATGCACATCCATGTTTATAGCAGCACAGTTTATAATAGTTAAATCTTGGAAACAGCCCAAATGCTCAGCTGATGAATGGATAAAGATGATGTGGAGTTTTGTTTTTTTTTTTAATACAGTGGAGTGCTACTCTGCCATAAAGAATAATCTTGAGACATTTTTAGCTAAGTGGATACACCTTAAGACCATACTCTTGAGTGAAATAAATTGGGGACACATGTTTAAACACCACATTGTTTCTGTGGTGTGAGAAATTGAAAGTGTAAATAAGGACCAAAATGTATAATAAATATTGAGAAATGGGAACAAAATATTCAAATGAGAAGGGGAACAAAAAAGGGGAGAAAGGGAAAGGAAAGAAAGGATGAAAAAAAGAATAGGTGGAAAAATGGAAACAAACCTTTTGTAAATAAGCAGAGGAAAAGTGGTCAAAGGGGGAGGGAGGACAATGGGGAAAAAAGAAGCAAGGTATGTCAAGCACAGGTACAAATTCCTTCTGATGAATTTTATCATTCTGTATATGAAATTTACCAAAAAAATGCTTTTAAATGCAAAAAAAATGTATTGCCTAAGAATAAAATCTTAGGTTAAGGCATATTTGCCTAGAATGTTCAATGACCTGAGTTCAACCCCTAGTACTACAAAGAAACAAATAAATATATTTTAAATTTATTTTTATATAGTATCAATTATTGTATTTGATCAGCAGATCATTTATACCTTTTAAAACAATTTTTTGTTATTTGGGTTGTACTTTTCTGAATGTGCATTCATGATTCTTAGGTATTATAATATCTAGACTTTTCAACTGTATTTTAAATTTATGTAATATAATAAGAAATAGTTTAGTGAGAAATAGTCTAATAAGAAAGCATTCTCCAGAGTTTTGTTTCTATTCCCTTTCCCTCCGTCAGGGTTGAGTGTGATTTTGTGCTTTGACTAAATAATTACAGATTTACTCAACACAGCAGGCACTATCCTTGCCCTTCTGGTTACACTTGAGAGCAGGGGTTTGCAAATCAATGCACACAGACAGTATCGGGCCTGTCACCAGCTTTTGTACAGTGCGCGAGAGAAGGATATGTGTATTAATTTAAATACTTGTTCAAAATCAAATGAAAAATGAAATTTCATGACTCAAGAAAAATACATGATAGCCGGGCATGGTGGCGCATGCTTGTAGCCCCAGCACTTGGGAGGCTGAGGCAGGAGGATCTTCATGAGTTCAAGGCCAACCTGGGCTACAAAGTGAGCTGAAGGTCAGCCTGAACTGCATAGCAAGACCCTGTCTCAAAAAGACAAAAAAAAAAAAAAAGAAAAGAAAAGAAAAATAGATGGAAGTCAAATTTCTGTGTCCATAAATATAGTTTTGTTTTGTTTTGTTTTTTCTGGACACAGCCATGCTCAGTAACATACTGTCTGTGATAGCTTTTGTGCTATGCTGGCCAAGTTAAGTAGATGCAGCAGAGATTGACTATGACACCATCATGACTTTGGATGGCTGCTTGGCTTACTACAAGTTACAGTAACACATCATAACTTCACAAGTTTTAAGTCCTGTGCATATTCCTATACCACAGCATTTTACCTTGTCTCCATGATGTCAAAACAAGGGGGCAAAAGAAAAATGAACTTTGAATGTCATACTTTTAAGACATAGTGAAGTAAGGATTATGTTGTCATCAAATGAGATGGTAAAACATTGCGTGTGTTATGGAATGACATTATAGTTGTGGTAAAAGAATATCATATATGTCAGGATTTTGTGTGTGTGATGTTAAGGACAAAACTCAGGGCCTCATGCATGCTAAGTACAGATTATCCCACTGAGATACATCCCCAGCCTTGGTTTGCTTTTTTGGTTTTTTTTCCCCCTCCGGTACCAGGAATCGAACTCACAACCTTGCGCTTGCCAGGCAGGTGCTGTGCCGCTGAGCCAAATCCCCAGCCCCGACATCCCCAGCCTTGTAGTAGCATTTCCACACTAAACTTCATCTGATTATTCCCAACATACAGGAAAGCAACAGCCTGAAAAATTAGAAACTTTGAATCAAAACCTCTTAATGACAGCAGAATTTCTTTACAAAAAAAAAGAGGGGATGAGGCATGGTGGTACACTCCTGCAATCCCAGCTGCTCAGGAGGATATGGCAGAAAGGTTACAGTTATGAGGCCAGCCTGGAAAACCTAGTGAAACCCTGACTCAAAACACAAAGAGCTGAGATGTACCTCAGAGGCATAGTACTTGCCTAGCATTCACAAGAGCCTGGAATCAATCCATAGTACTGCAAAGAAAAAAGAAAAAGAACATCGGACTCTAACCAAAGTAAGTGTGAGTAGCTTATTGTATAACCAGTCAAGAAAAGATACTTAGTAATGCTGAGTTAATTAAGTCACAAAGTTAACTAAATGATGTTTGATTGTAGTACATAAAGAAAGGTGTCCAGAGAAAATAAACTTTTTACCTGTTAGGCAAAAGAGTTGCTAAAAGACTTGAGGATATTAGAAACAGCATCAGAAGTCAGTTAAAAACAAGGCAAAAGAGTCTGATTGCTCCAATTAAAAGAGCACATTCTGAGACCTTAGTGTAAGATGCACACATGTACCTCACAGTACTGGGTCTAAGTTGTAGATTTTATCAACAATTTAGGTTACTTAAACAGGATCTGTGTCAGTTTGCTGGAATATGACCACATTGAAGACACGACTCTTTTTAATGACTTATCCAGAACACGTGTCCATTCTATAAAACAACTGCATCCAACTTAGCAGGAATTCATATGACAAAGCAGTATTTCCTTGTTGTTTGTTCACTTTAACAAGAGTGAACAAAACAAAAAGGAAATACTGCTTTGTCAGAAAAAAAGGAATTTCTGCAGAGCCATCAATCAAATGTGAAAAATTCACAAAATTCAAAACCGCTTACAGTTTTCTTTGTTGTGTCCCTGAGGTGTTAGAGAGTACACCAAGGATAAGCAGCTGGAAAGCCTGTTTCAGAGAACGCCTGGGTCTTTTGATGCCCATAATAGAGCCCTCATTCTGGTGCTGATAATGCACTTATGCGTGCAGTCCCAGACTCAGATATTTTGGATAGTTTATACTTGAAGATAAACAGGACGCCCTCCTTAGTATTAACAGACATTTGACCCCACATAAAAATTGGAGCAGATGTCGATATGCTCATTATGATTAAGAAGGTATTGACGCTATGGAAGAAGCTCTGAGAGTAGATTTGGATGTTCTACAGAGACCATGTCCACCAATATTAATAGTGCCTGCTCGGTGTGTAATGGCTACAACAATCCTGGAGAGGACAGAAGGCCTGT